TATACGTATAGTAATATTTGAACAAAGAAAAAATGATTTTTCCTCTAGTGTATCATTAACTAAAAATCATATCCAAAGTCTAATGTTATAAAGGTCTGTTGGAAAAAAAAAAAAAAAGAGAAAAAAAAAGGAAAAAATAGTAACGGGAAAAAAACATCAGCTTCTTTGAAGGTTATATAAACCATTACAGCTAACTTTTACGTACATATGACACGATGAAGATATGAGATTTACGAGCTTCATCTGAAAGCCTTGGAGATCTTTTTGAAACATTAGAGATATATACAGGGTGTTTTAGTACCTTTTTTCCGTAAAATTTTACCACCCATATTTTCTAAGTAAACATAAAAAGAAAAATGTCATTTAAACATGTGAGCTATATTAATTGCTTGATTAAAAAGTTATAATGTACAACGAATTGGTGTTACATCAACACAGCACATCAGAACATATTGTTGATTTAAATCTTTGAATATACAACCACCATAACATAATCATCGGACCTCACTTTTTAATCGAAAAATTAACAACACAGTTTTTTATTTCTTTTTGTAGGATTTCTTATTAAATGAATTGCAATTAGAATTGGTAGAGGAAATATTCTATAATTATTTCATCAATATTTATAAATCTTCAATTAGATGATGATTGTCAAGAAGTACATTGAATATTATTAATACTACAATGATTTAAATACCATCACTCCCAACGATGGATAAATTGAAAATGATTTTTATTTCTGATGGAACAATGGAAAAAAAAAAAAAAGAAAAAAAGGTTTATTAAAAACAAATTATAATACGCGTCAGAGAAATGAATGCGAAGAATTATAAATGACGTATATTTATTATAATATAATAAAGGAAAATGAAGAAGAAATTAATAATAAAATAAATTCTATTCTATGTAAATGATAATCCCTGTGCCGTTCGCAATAAGGGGACAACATTTTAAAATGGAATTATAATTTCAACCGACAATATCTAATCCTACGTGATATCGGACAAGAAAAGCAATCCGTTTTAATTTCGTATATTTTGTTATAACTTTTTAATAAACCATTTCAAAACTCATGTTTCTCTTTAAACATTTTATTCGTACTTTTTTTTTTCTTCTAGATTATAGGGTGGTTAAGTTTTGCGAGGAAAAAAAAGAAAAAGAAAAATACTGAGACACCCTGTATACATTTATTATATCATTTTATAAAAAGGCAAGCATAAAAATTATATTAAATCACTTTGAAATTTGTCATTACACACACACACACACACACACACACCTATCCACGAGAATTTTTAAATTAGTCGGCTGTCGCTCATTCATGATACATTAAAAGATACTCTTTAAAAAGAAAAGAATAGTAAAGAAAATGTAATCTTTCTCACTTTTTATATAAAATTAACTTATACTTAATTGAAATTTTTCATATGTGCGTAAAAATTGGTTTGGTAGTGTCTGTGATGATAATTAATTTCGCTAAAATGATAGTTATAAAGTAGTTGAAGTAGATAATTAAATTACGTGTTTAAATGATTGCACAGTTGAATCAATGCATATAAATATTTGTGCACGCATGAATTATCCTCGCGAGCGTAGATATTAATTGCTAAAATGTTTAATATTAACTAATATTATTACCGTACAATGGTAGTACTAAAAGACAATGTAAACGGTATTGGAATAAATAACGAAGCCTGAAAATGATCGCGTACCTGTTCTAATATCCTTCAAATTCAGAATGAAGAAAAAACGAACCACGTGTCGTATTTATTGGTAATTGAAAGAAGAAAAAGAAAACCAGAAGAAGAAAAGAAAAAAAAAACCTTTTGACTTATTAAATGTTTATATAATTGTGATGTAACACATAGGATTCCTCGCAAATATACTGTGTAAATAGTATTATATTAATTCAATTTAAATCTATCTAATCCATTCCTGTAAATGTGTACATATAAAATGCGATATGTGTATGTATAAATAAAATTCAAATGAGATCGATTTAAAACTTTTACGTAAAAGTTTATAGAATTTTTAAATAATCGTATATAATTATAACCTAATAATACTATATTTACCATTAAACACAATTATTTATTATTATTTTATTAGTGAATTTATATTTAAATTAAGATATCGCATATTCATCGCGAGTATGTAATTGAATATATTTCTCTCTTTGTAAGGAAAAATAATATTTCTATTTATTATTGTTAAGATCTGAAATATACGAAGGTAAAATTAATCGATAGATGTTAAACATAAGTTAATCGATTTCAATTAAATTATATATATATACGATTTAGTGTCAAAGCGTAATAACCAAAGCAGCTTCTGATTGATACGAAGATCAGAATGTATCGTTTTACTGTCGTATCTATTTACATGATATGTATTGTATATATATATATATACATGTGTATGCAAAGTAATTATATTAAATAAATTTGCTTAAATTCTTACAATAGATCTATTATATAAATTCGAAAGAAAAAAGAATCAAAATTAGATGCATTTATTGGATATAAGCTGTACGATATTATATACACAACACTGCTTTAAATTATTTATTTTTTCTCACACCGAAGTTATTCATTAAGTTACAAATATTAATTGTATATCGCGATTTTAATTTTAAAGAGAATGTACATTTTAGAAATATCTTTAGTTGTTTAATTGTTTTATTATTTATTTGTATAAATAAATTGATCTTCTTTTTCTAAAATGTTTTTTTTTTTAAATGACATTTTTTCATTTTTATCCTTCATTTTCGCGATCTTTAAAAGATTATTATTCGCGTGAAAATAAATATCTTCATGAATGAAATTATAAACTGTGGCGTCTAATTTTGTATTACGATTACCACGAATATAGAAATGAATGATAGGACCACCGGTTATTGACCTCACGTGTTTTGCAGATGCGACTATTTTCAATTTTGGCTTACCGTTTCAAATAAAAATAATCTTATTTTGTCGCATTTCGATAACCAACATGAACCATTCTAACGATCCATCCCTTAAATGAATTTTTTTCTTAATAGAACTTTAACAAAAATTGTGAAAGAATACAAATTTTGAATTTGAACGATTACGATATCGGAAACGTTTCGTTTGTAAAAATATAATTACACGATAATGCAATATAATATCGGTTACATAATTAATCCGAAATTGAAAACGAAAATTTTACATCGTACGTTATATTACTTTTCTTCATTTTCGACTAAAATTACTAATATTATTCTATTATATTATATATCTCGAAAATTATATATATATATATATATATATATTTTATATTTATTTATTTTAGCACAAAAACGGTCAAACAATCGATTTTGTATTTTCGATTAAAATTCTCCATTGAATTTTATTGCAATTCATTATTAAACTCTTACACAATAATTCTAATTATAATCATACGTTTTATTTATTGTTTTAAGCTAAATACCAAATTGATTATTACGTGTATTTAATTATAACAAATATAACTTTTTTTTTATTTAAATCCCATGTACTCTTATTGAACGTTAAATTTAATTACCCTCCTTTAAAAGAATCTCAACAAGAAAAAAAAAAAAAAATAGAATAAAAATTACAACATTTTATCCTAACCATATACGATCTAACAATAAAACAATAAATGAATGTTCAATCATCTAATTGCACAAAACGATAAGAAAAATGTAATATCTTATCTAATCGAGAATAACAAATGAAGAAAAATTTCAATGCATCACTTTAATTATAATAATAATAATAATAATAATAATAATAATAATGTCACATCTAATTATTATGGATCAATAAATTTTGAAACATAATAATCGTAATAGGAATTACACGAACACACACACACACACACACATGGCTACCTTCGTTAAGAAATTAAAAGGTAAGTTTTAACGAAAAGGGCGCAAAGCAATTTATCGTTTCGATGCGTTTTGCAGGGATGGAAATATACGAATCGATCCACCAACTTAAAAATATATCTACCCTCTCGACGAATTACAAAAAAATAAGAAAAAAAAAGAGAAAGAGAAAGAGAGAGTTACTGAGATGTAAAAGACTATTGGATCCCCTCGATTTATAAAAGGAATTAATGTTACGGACTATTGATCATCATCTAACCAATGAAAACTTTAGATATCTGAATATAGTATATACGATTTTCGTCATCTCATCAGACGTTGTTACTTATTGATCACTTTCAAGTTTAACTCAAAATTTACTTATCACTTGTTTTACAAAAATAAATAACGCGCGTATAACTTTAATTATATTTCTCGTTGAAATATACTTTATTTATCAAAACGAAATGTATAATTTCGAAGAGTGAAGAGGGAAGTAAATGGATACGTCGAGCAAATAAATTGAAATAAAATGAAATAAAAATCGGGTTAAAAAAAATGATTTGACCATATTATACGCAAATTAATCGTAGAAATAAAATAAATATAAATTAAAGCTTTCGGTTTATTTTAGCATACTAAATAACAACTATTGCAATATATTATGCAAATAAATTAATATTCAATTAGAAAACGCGATGAGAAAAAGAAAACAAAAAATTAAAAATACGTTTTGTACAATTGAGGATTTTTTTAGATTGAACGTAATTATTAATTTTTTTTTTTTTTTTTTTTTAACAAAAAACAATTGATTATCTATCAAAATACTGAGAACAATAGAATAGGGTACTTATATAAGACAATTTTCAATCATTTTTGCAAGATTGTCAGATCATTTTCAACGGTAGTGTATTAATTGTTTATAATTGGTGAAAATAAAATCATTTTTCAACGGACGAATGCCACTACAATTATTTAAAATATCGGAAATTTACGTGATACTTTTTATACGAATGTATTTTTATATACGTGTACGTATGTCGATAGACGGTAAATAATCCTTTCATTTATACTGACCTTATATATGTAATCAATACGGTATCGATTAATGCGATTTTTTTTAACACGGTTAAAATATATACATTTTTAACAATATTTATTATTAATAAATTTACTATGTAGGGTCTAACCAAAATACGTGACTAAACTTCTCGACTACATTCCTCGTATAGAAAAAAAAAGAAACAAATAAACTATACGAATACGCGAGTCTGGAAATGTTTAATTATTTTTTTCATTTCAAGTATATGATATTTTATTTTATTCAATAGAAATATTATTAAATATTACGCTTTAGTAAGATAAAAATTCGAACAAAAATCAAAGTACCTAGGATGAATTAAAGTTTTAGCAGAGAAAGCAGTCAAAAATGATATAATTATCAAGAAAAAAAAAAGACAAAGGAAATATATGAAATAATAATACCTTTGTTTTCCCAGATCCAGTAGGTCCGACTAACATTAATCCATGACGTACCAAAGTAGTCTCGTATAGCTGAATAACTTTCTTCACAAATTCTACATTTAATATAATACAATATAATAATAATAATAATAAATTTACTTATTTAATAATAATTACGCATTATTATAAATACCATTGACATCTTCCAAGCCCTTTTCTAAAGTAGTCTTACGAATTTCCGCTTCAAGAATTCCATAATCAACAGGTAATTCAGTCAATTGTGGAAAAAGATCAGATACGATCCCTTTAAGATATAATAAAAATTAATCGATAACATGTGTATGTGAGATAATTAATAAAATAATCATATTATTATATATATATATATATACCATTAAACAATTTAAGATCATCGCTTAAAAATTTCGGCACGTTGACATCTCTCAAAGCGCGTAAACAAATTTGTTGTTCTTCGACATCTTTCAATTCTCTTTTTAAATTACCCGCAACCGCTATTACAGTTTTTACAGCGCGCATTCCAAAATCATAATGATCCTACGAATATAAAGTTAATTAAAAAAAAAGGAAAATTTCGACACGCGATACCGATTTATAATTTACAATTTATTTTTATAAAGATAAGAGAGAAAGAAAAAACAACCTGTGTACTGAGTTGTTCGGAACTTAATTTAAAAGTAGTCGTTATCTTTCCAGCAAGAGTTTTAGCGTCAGAAAAACCGTAAGAAAATAAAGATATTTCAGCAATGAGAGTATAATTTGGCACCATCATGGCAACCGGTCGGAAAAGGGCTTTCAAATTGTCTGGTAATTCTGTACGACCTGCATAACCCGGATTCATTGTAATGAAAATTGCACAGGAAGGTTTAAGGGTAATTTCTACTCCTTCAAATACAAATCTAAATAGATTAATGGATGAATATCAAGTGAGATAATGATTTCAAAAAAGTATTGAAGTACCACCAGTAAAGAGGGATTGAAACTAACATTTCAGTTCTGACTTGTTGAGCTTTCTGAATAGTCATAATTTGTTGTGCTATTACAGATAATACTTCGATATCTATTCTGTTAAATTCGTCGAAACATGCCCATGCGCCTGCACTATGAACATAAAAAAACACACACACATTTCTTTTTTTCCTAATTTATTTCGTTCATTGAAATTCAATGTAAAATATAAAATAAAAAAATGATTTATGTTTATATTTTATACCTGGCAAGACCTTTGAAAAATTTTCCCATAGATAAAAAGTCCAATTGATCGGAACAATTAAAGACTACACATTGAATAGCAAATGCCTTAGCCAAATCTTTAGTCGTTTCAGTTTTTCCAGTTCCAGCTGGTCCAGCTGGTGCACCACCAAATTTCAAATGAAGAGCACCGGTAAGTGTTAAATAACATCGATCCGTTAAAGGTGTGATAACCAATCTACCGTTGTTACCCAAATACTCGTAACTAAAATATTATTTCATTTATTTTACGATCTAACATATAAAATGATATCTAAAATAAAATTTACCCGTAAGAAAATTCCGCATTTACAGCGCGAACTTTTAATTCGCTATTGTCAACCCAATAATATCTTAACTGTGATATCCAATCGAAATCATTAAGGTTACTAACATTTTCTTGAATTAATTTATATAAAACGTCTCTTGCGTGTACTTCGATAATAATTACAGCTTCGAGCATTAATCTTTGAATTTCGGTTTGTGGACTTCTTACAAGTTCACGCAAATCATCCAACTATGAAAAATGAAAAACTATATATCACATGAAAATTGAAATTTGTCGTAAAAAGTAATGATATTTCATATTGAATTTCTGACAATTACTTGGGATAACATAACTTCGTAAAAAGATTGCAATGCATTATTTTTTATAGCATCTTCGACATGAGCAGTCCAATAAGTTTGACCACCGCAAAGAACAACTTGACCAGGCCACATATATACCCATTCCTTTCTACTCGTTTCTTCAACAATTTCAAGAGCTTCACCTATAATTTCTCTTAATGTATTGCGCATGGTTTCTTCTACCAAACAAAGCCAATTTTCCACATTTCCCTCGGGATAGATCGTAGGTCTTAAAACGACTTCTTCGTATTCAGCAGAATACATTCTTGTGATAGCAAGATCATCCTCAAATCTTAATTCTCTCATATTTTCAAAACATTTTTTAAGATGAGGTTGTACGGCATGTACGTTTTTCGTTTGAGCAAGTATTTCGAGTAACTCGTCGTCGCTAAGAAAGAAAAATCGTGGGAAAATCATTCGTTTTGTTTCTAAATAATCAGACAAACCCTTTTGTACGATTTCCAACAAACTGATGCATTCTTTTAAACTTTCTAAAAGTGATTTGTCTGGACTTATTTTCATTATCTAAAAAATCAAGAATTTTCTAAATTTTTATCAAAAAATATCAAAACATTGTCAAGTACTTTAAGATCATAAAAAATTGGATAAATTACATAAGGACACTCGTAGGCTGTTTTCATGATTCGTCTCCAATTACGATCCATGGTGTTAAATTTTCTCGTTTCGACGGGTAATTGTCGGCTAATATCTTCCGACGTAAAAATTGGTTCCAAATACATCCAACGTCTTAAAAAAAAAAAAAAAAAGAAAAAGAACATATAAAATAAAAGTATTATCCTCGTAACAAACATTTATCTACGAAACTTACTTTTGTACCTCTATCCATAATAATATTACTTCTTGGGATAATTTCAATTTATAATCCCAATCTTCGAATCTATCTTCAAATGCAGCTTTAAAGGGACTAAAACTAATTTGTTGGGCATTCAGAATATGATCGTCTAAGAGCATTAAAGTTTCATCGGAAATTTTCATGATGTATGTACCTGATTAATTATAAATTAATATTATATTAATTTAAATATTATTATATATAATATATAAATAATATTAATTATATTAATATATATTATTTAAATATTATAAATTAATATATAAAAGTTATATATTTCCGATATAAATCCCGAACGTAATTAAATGCGAACCTGTATTTTTATAAAGCATAACATCCATCGTTATAACATCCCAGGCGTTTATCATTTTATCCAAAATACCTTCTATCGAATATTCTTTCTCAGCCTCGTCGGCAACCTTCGTAACGATTTCTTCGAATTGCATAATACCAAGAACTATCAAATTATTGAATGTCAATGATGGTGTTAGTGCCATTTGTATTCCAGTGAGAACACTAAGTTCATCAAAATGTCGAGGTTTCATCCCCGGATTTCTAAGAGCTTGTATTATCCCTACGTAGGGCTTGAAGTCTTCTATTTGAGCCTTTATATTCTCGGCTACAGCGGCAACCTCTGATCAAAATAGGAATACCTTGATTACCGATTCGAATCGCGGATAATATTTGGGACGGTAGACCCTACAATTTCATACTTGGAAATTCTTGGAAGATTTTGATGCTTCGTGACATTCCCTTATACATTTCATTAACATAATTGTCGATATTGCTACCATCAATTGTCATTAAAGGATTTTCCATCCATATATTATACCAATTTAACCAATCTTGAATAAAAATTCAATTAAAATATATACCAACTATCTTGAATGTTTCATCATGTATCATACCTGATGCCGTAATCCAAAGTGTTCGATATTGCTCAAATTCTTTCATTAATTTAGAAAGACTTTCAAAAGGCACGACAGGAATTCCAAAAAGTTTCTGACGTTCGTTTAACAGTATCCCCATTTCTTTACATTCCTTCATTAATTTCCAAATTCTTTTAATATCAATAGCAATCTCATGAACCATAGTAATGTCTGTTTGTAAAGCTATGTTAGCTACATTTCCAACAAGCAAATCTATTTTCTCTTGTAACATTATTTCGTCTTGGGTTTGAATTTTTAAAAATTTTTCTTGTTCTATTACAAAACGTTCCTCAGTTTCTGCTACCTAAATAAGTTATATTTATATATATATATATAAATGATATTTTTTTGTTTTTACAAAACTTGAATTAGTATACGGTACCAATTCTTCTATTTTACGAGGAAAACCAATTGCTTCCCATTTGACATTAAAATCTTCATCCGATAAATTCCAACGAAAATGTTCTAAAATATCAAACTCAATTTTCACTTTTTGCATATTTTCATTAATTCCCTTTACCGTCAACGGAATTGTTTCCATCCATTCTTTTTTATCGAACAAATGTTCTACGTTTCTCAATTCTTCTTTCAATTTTACACTTATTTCTATATATTCATTTAAAATCTCATCAACTTTATAACGAAGTTTTTCGGTGAACATAAAAAGCAATCGTGTAGAACAATCTTCTCGTTTTGACATTAAAAATTCTTTCAAAGGATATACATTAACGTTAAAAGGACCTATGAAAATATTTTTCGGTAGAGTACTTTCAAGATTTAGTTTCATTCTACGATGAAAAGAAATTTCGTCCTTTATCTCGACAGCCGTATGTTCTTCATTTTTAAAATCTCTAAAAATGTATTTTGTCTTCGTATATTTTAAATATAAAATATTGTTAAAATTAAACAATAATATTATCCTAACTTACTCGATATATTTGTCAACATCCATTTCGAAAAGAGCTAAATATTTATAATATTCTTTGGCATAAGCTTTTAAAGGTATGATTCCCTTTTGATAAATATATTTTAAACGATTCCTAATTTCGCATATTCTTGTATCAAGCAGACCAACCGAACTAAGAAAAAGTTCTACTGGAAATTTAAGGAAGGGAAGTAAAAATGGATGTACTTGTCTTATTTGATGGCACAGTGTCAATGAATTATCCAAAATAGATACGATAGTTTGCTACAATAATAAAAAGTAGTAATAAATAAAAGATAAGAAAACTTTTTCATTTCTAAAATTATAATATTTGATATACATATGTATGATTACTTCGAAATCATTTAATTCGGTAGAATAATATGCTCCAGTACTATTCATCATAAGATTAACATTAAAAACAGGAAAAGCTCTACAAGCATACTGTGTATTTACTAAATCGTCTCCCCAAATAAAATCATCATCAACGTTAACTACGCAAATTCCTGGACTTTCTAACATTTCAAAGTACAAAGAAATCGAATTTTCTACAAGATTTCTTAACGCATTCTATAAATAAAATATACAAATCTATTTATTAATATTTAAATCATCATATAAAAAATATGTCATACATACTTGCATATGACAAATGATTAGATCCATGAGACGTTTTAATTTCATAACGTTGTATATTTCAGGAAACTTTTGATCGAGATTAAACCATCCTTTTCCAACATCCCTCAAATACATTCTAACGGATTGCGTGATTTTGTCTAACCATAATTCTTTAAGATACTTCATGGTCATTATCGTCGTTTGATTTTGTTGAGATTCGAATTCAGTCAGCGACATTGATTTTCCATAATTAGATACGAATAAATTCATATTCGATACTTGATTACATTCGTAAACAACACAACGCATAGCTTCATAAACTTCTGGTAATACGTATAACGTAAACCAATGAAAATAATGTTGTAATTCCTGATATGATATTAATTTAATTTTCATAATATTCATAATGTTTCTCAATAAAATACTTCAAGAAAAAAAAATAACGAAATAAATTTTTAATGTTTTACATAAAAATTCTTCATATTCGTAGGAATTTTTCCCATTTGTGGTACTACGTCTTTGTTTGTAGAAAATTCTATTTGCATAAATTTAAATATATTCGGAGAATGTTGAATTAACCTTCTCCACATAAGATCGCACATAGTTCGACGGTAATCGCGTTCAATTTCATCCATTAACTGTACAAAATTAATAAATGCCAACACACAATGTAATATAAAAATAGTTACTTGAAAAAAAATTAAAAAAGAATTATACGTATACCTACAGAAGCGATATTCTGAACTTTGTATTTAACGAGCTTTTGTCGCGTAGAAAGCGAGATAATAGTTTCCTTTTCATTTTCATTCAATGTCGGCATGTCGCCTATTTCCATGCAATCCAAATAAAAATTATATCTACAATAAATGATATAATATAATTACGTTTAAAAAAAAGAAAAAGTAAAAACTTTGATGTAATTAAAATAAACCGATTTAATTATACGTCTAGTATAATTAAATACAACAATTAATAATATAAAATGAATGAACCTAATACACGTCTCGGCTCTTTGTCTATCTTTAACTGCAGCTGCAATCCGTCGAGCAAAAACTTTCGGATCCTCTGCTAAAAATTGGATATATATCCTAGGCAATAAAAAAGTTCTCTTATGACCGTCCAATGTGAGAACGGTCCACAATTTTTTGTTACTATCATAATCAGTTACTGCTGAAAGTTGCCATCCATATAAATTATCTAATTGTAAATTGGACAAATGATCATTCTTCTGTTCGTTAATTATGAATTTTTCAACAAATGCCATAGCAGGTAAAGGATATCGTACATCATCGATCAAACCTAAATTTATCCAATCAATCGATGTTCTATCGTAAAAATAATATTATTTAATACGTTTCTTATCTTGTGAATAAAAATTACTTCCAATGGAATAAATAATAATTTAAAAATGTTCTTTTTACCGACAATCGAATTCCTCGTCGTCAAATATCTCGAGAGGTAAATAATTTATCTTGGAATACAAGCCAAATTTATCTTCCTCCGTTGATACCGACGAAATTACTTTCGGTGGTAAAATATTGCACGATGATATACCCTCTTTTTTTAACGACTCATCTAAACTCTGATTTCTGTACAACCTACGACGCCTTTCCATTTCAACGTTTCGTGGCAAACGTTTAGATTCAACGTTCTGTTCCATTTGAACTTTCGGTACAAATGTCTCAGCCGGAAAAATCTTTTTTTTATCGATAAGAACATTCTCGTAATTCAATATCAGTCTCGTAATAGAATTTTCAACGTTTAAAGTTATTATATAAATATTATATTAAATGTTACAATTATATTTTAAAGATAAAACTCTCTACGAAGTTTACTTACGATTGATCTATCTTCGGGAAAAGTTATCCATCTTTCAGCTGCACCCAAAAAATATTTCGACTTTTTAGGTAAAAGATTTTGAACAACAGCACTATGTTGCTCAGTTAATATTTGCCAGGTGAGCTTAGTTCTTCTAGGTACGGTTGGGAGAAGATTTAAAGACGGATTTACGGGACATTTTAATGTACCTATATATGATTCAAACCATATTTAAAATATTAAAGGGATATAATTATTAATTAGAGATATTGATTTTTATAAATATATATGAATATATTTTTAATTACTGACCCGTAACAATTTCGGAATAATAACCTCTTTTCGAAGAAATTGATTTATTTTTATCGATCTGATCCATTTTATTCAAGCTAAAAAAAATTAACGTTTGACATATTTCATTTTGACAAATTTGTATTAATCAATATAATATAAAATTGCTAAGTTTTCCTTTTTTCTTTTTTTTAACTTACTTATAACAATCATTACATTCAAACTTATAACACAAATTATCTATCTGAAAGTTCTCGAAAACTTGTATATTCTCTCGTATATAATATTTATAACTTTGATAATATTTTATATCCTATTTTATTAAAAGAGAAATAATTTCAATTTGACTGAAGCGTCTCCTGCTGTTACTATTAGGAAACTTCACGTCAGTGAAGTATCAAATAAATTATACATTCACAAATCATTATTTTATTAATAAAATATTTTATATTAAAAAACATCGCGAATATCTTTAAAAAGAAATATAAGAAAATGCAATTTTTGTAGAACTACAAATAATTGCATAGAATATTTTGTCTGTGTACCTTCAGAAATGCATTTATATTATACATATATTTTAAAAGGCAATCATTTAAGGTGCTCAAATAGAAGAAAATCAAAAAGGTTTGATGTTAAATCCAACGATGATCACCTGTAACAAGAAGAAAACTATATTAATCATACAATCAAGTGATAAAATAGCCTGAAATATAAATCGTCCCATTCGCAGATGCACTTTTCAATTGAATTCTCTATTTATTTTGATCAATTTAATTCGGATGTGGACATCTTCAGGGTGCACATCCCTCGTGGGTCTTCGGAAGCGGTTACCTCCTCGTGGTTAGACCCGGGCAATGGTGTTTTACTTTCAGTATAATGTTTAACATATTTTATATGGTATACATTCCATTGCAAGTAAAATCCAGCCAAAGACCGCTTACCATAAACATTATAATTGTAATTAGTTTTTTTTAACTTCTTAATTAATATCATATTCTTTTATATTCCTTTCCTTGGTTCCTTCTATCCATTTCATCTACAGAAACTAATTATCTTACAATGTTTCTTAATAACTTTTATATATTTACAAGTAGCAAGAAGTAGTCTAAAATTTTTGAAATTTAATTATCATTTTATTACTTTTTTTCGAAAGATGATAAATTACAATGCACTTACAAAGCACCTTTCTTAAACTATTTTTATATTTTTTATTAGTTTAACAGACATTTTAACTAGTTTAAGTAATTTTTACTAGTTACCAGGCATTATTAAAATATAATGCAATAACTTATCAGTTCTATTTTGCAATTTAATCTTTTACAATAAACTTTTTTATAGTCATCATCATGGATTTAATTATTAAAACAATTTAAGCGAGGATTTGTGATTAAAGTAGTTTATAAAGTTAAAATATTATTTTTTACATCATTTACAAGATAATGATATTTAAAATTAGAATTATTTTTAATATTATTTTACTAAATATGGACTATCTAAAACTCCACCACCTCCGATGATGCCTCCTTCATTTTCATTAGACATCTTAGTTCTTAAAATATGACCAGTTTCTTTATTATACAGTATATCAGTACGATTCCTTAAAATATACAAATAAAAAATAATATTAATGAATGTGTTACGTTAATAATAATAATAAAAAAATAAATAACAATATTAAACTCACCCAATAATTACTCCATAAATACCAAGCTCTGATATAACATCAGATAAAACGAGTTCATCGCGGTTTATATCATTTGGACTAATAAGACTGTTTTTCTGCGAAGGAGGATTAATACGATCCATGAGAATCCATGCAGTACGCTCCTTAGAATTTCTCATTTTTGTTAAATATGTTTTAATATTCTCGTCATATACATTGTTACCACCACCTTCGCGTTGTGGCTTAAGAACGTATTTTTCAGGTTCATGTATAGCCTTTGTTATAATTTGCTCTGCTTCTACATTCTGTTATAATAAAATCATTAGTGTAATGCTATTATTTATGATAATATAATTATCATTGTAGGAACATAGGAGAGACAAGAGTTGATTATGTTAAAAAAAAACAAATAATACACTCTCGAATATTATCAAATAATAAAGAATATATATACATATCTTTCAAATTAAGCAATACAATCTCTCCAAATTTTCTCCAATCACTCTCAACCATTTTTATCACTCCTTTGTCGTTTCTTTCAAACTCTTATTGATTGCATGCCTTCATTGTAATTCATGCACAAAACTCTCTCTCTCTCTCACAATACTGATTTGATCATCCATATTACTACATCATTATATATACATACTTACAAAATCCAATGAATATAAACCGGTAAATACTTCTTGAATCTTGGCCATTGCACAAGGTTCCTCTACGAACATATTCAATATGCTGGGTTCAACTAAAGCTTGTTGAATCTATGATAATTTAAAGAAATAAATTTACACCTTTAAATTCAATACCCAAAAATATAAATAGATATAAAACTTTTAATTAAAATTTATACGCACTTTTTTAGTTCCTGCTAAATGATATTGTATAGATGGACATTTTATAGCTTTAGAACGTTCTATTAGTAAACGCACAGCCCATTCTTTCTCGGTAGGATATGCCTGGAGTTCGTAACCAGATCTAAAGTATACTACAGCGACTATTAAATTATCACTAAAAATATTCAAAAATATTAATTAATGTTTAACTAATATCTATATCTTTAATTTAATTATAATATATTATAAAAATCTATTGCGTGAATTAATTAAATATTGAAATGAATATATACTCACACAATTAATTCTTTATTAGGTCCTAATTGTGCGTCAAGCACTAGAGCACTTAAACTTCTTCTGATAACTTTAATAGCAGGATTTAACTTGCGTACTTCAAACTCATGAAATCTTTGATCACTTATATTGTAGGTAATATTTTCAACAACAATCAATATCACAGCCCTGAAATTAACCAATAATATATATGTTTCAATATTCATTTTTATAAATAGCTACATGTACACTTACTTATTATCATTGTATAATGACCATGCTTCAATTAATCCTTTACAAAATCCATTAACAGGATTATTCAATGGCAACTTTAAAATAATACACAAAACAATAATTAAATTATTAATAAATAATTAACATGTCATAATTTATATAATTTATATCATTATTTTTGTTTTGAAAATAATACTTACAAATTCTAATTTATCAGCATGTCCTAGTTCCATTAAAATATACCTTAAAAAACAAAGTAAAATATAAATAAAAAAACTTATGCAAACATATTATTCCTAAAATATAAAAACATGTTAAATACCTATGATATTGTGAAACAACTGTGGACAAACCAGCGAAACTAGACGCAATTGTATTTAATTCCACTTGTTTGATCTCTTTATCAATATCATTATGTAACAAATAATCTGATCTCAACAACCCAAGACTAATATCCTGCAAACAAGAAAATTATTAGCAATTATTGAAAATAATAAATATAAGGAAAAGATTTTGAAAAAAGTTTTTATACTATTTTAATATGCACTATATATATATATATATTTTATTGGTTTTACTTGTGCAAATCCTTCATTATAAACAGTTTCATATATATTGAATAGCCGTGCTGTAAAATCATCAACCTCAATAGTTCTGAAACATACATATGTTATGCTAATCGAATACCGAATTAACATATGTAAATATAAAACTTGAATATAATTGCAATTTAATTTACCCTTTTAAAGTACGCCTAATAAAATTATCATCATGCGCAACTTTGTGCATAAGTTCATTCAATAAAACTTGTACATCTTTAACTTTATCATAAAATTTCTTTGGAAAGCTTGAAGGTAATAGAGCAAAAGGTGCTATTTGTACTTGATTTTTATTAAAATTTGTCTTCGATCTCATACACATACCTAAAATATTTAAGAATTATGTATTAATAAATATTCAAAAAATAATAATAATATTTTCTGGTAATGCATACCGTGCATAAGTGCCCAATCCTTAGCTTTATCTACAAGATCTTGAAAATCTTTCTTAGAAAGATCAAGATTTATACAATGTTGCAAATGGAATGTACTCATGATAATTAAATAATTTTTAAATAATAATCACGAGAAAAATTAAAAAATATATATATTTATATATATGTATATATTTAAAAAAATAAAAATTCAACACATTATTTTACAAATGCATTAATTAAAATTACTGTGATTTCAAGTAATAACAATCAGTAAATTGAAAATCAAAAATAACCTTGATGTATCATGCTTGCTCTCGTGATAACTAAAAATAATATTGCGCAACATTCCATAAAAGATAAAAATTAAAGAAATTGTGATCAATCAAACACACCAGAAATAGTGACGAAAGAAGAGATTATACGATGATATGCACATTCTGGCATAATCAAAATCAACCAATCATTTTTTAACCCCATTAGCAGGAAGTGCATTATGTATGTGCATTTAAAGTCTTTGTATTTGTGTGCATTTAATGTCTTTATATGTATAATTAGTTTTTAATTCTGGCAACAAATTAATTCAACAAATTTGTGTGCCTTTATGCAAAATATTATTTACAATTTAAAATTGACTACTGAGAAAACATTTTGAAAATGGCGCCAATTTGATTGTAAAATCTTTTTTTATGTTAAAAATAAATTAATGAAAGATTTAAATCTGTTCTATTGAAATTTAATAAGATATTATTGTTTAATGTACAAATATATTTAGTTTTAAATTTTCATAGTTAATTATAGTCAAAATAGTATCCATTTTAATGCAAACGTTCTAGCCTTAAAACATGAAATTTAATTTAATAAAGAATTAATTAAATTACAAATTATCAGAGACAGAATTGTGTGTGAATAAAATTTATGATTTATTATAATAACAAAATTAAAGGAGTAATATAATTTAAAAAGAAAAAGCAAATGCAATAAGTCAATTACAATATTCCAGAAGAACAAAAATTCTTTACTAGAGTTTAAGAAATTTATGAAGACGTTTAAAAATGTTTAAAATATTAAAGAATTATTAATAATCCAATTCAGTAATTTATTTAAAATAAATACAAAATCAAACATAGAAATGCGGCATGAACAAATTCAGATTGTGAGATAAAAAATATATCTTTGTAGAGTCATAATACATAACCAATAATTTAATTTAAATATCAAAAGAATTTTCATGATTAAAAATAGTACAATTTTATATAATCAAAATTAAATAAATTCAAATATATATAAATTAAAAGAAAATTAATTTTCTAAATTAATCTAGATACACGATTACAAATTTTTAATGGTTCGTTTTCATGAAGATTTTTGTTCGCAGTTAGTGAACATATATTACCATCTATATTGTAATCGTTGTTCAATGACTGACGCTTGCGCTGTATTATATCCCGAAAAAGTACAGTTCTTTCACCCTCAAACCTTCGTTTTATATCATTGTATACTATCAAAAGAATTTTAATTTAAATATTTGTACTTAATTGAATTTATATATATTAAAAAACAAGCAATATATGTTAAGGGAGTGAATTGCTCAATTTAATTAGAGTTAATTCACTCGTAGGAATAATATTTATTGGTGTAAATCGTTCTACAACTTCATGTTTCACAATGAGTGATTATTCAGCGGTCGCTCCGCCTCAAAACTTTAGCCAAAGCTCCGCTTTTGCGGCAGCTTTGCAACGAGCAAAGCAGGTAAATAATCATTGTAACAATATTTTTATCCACTATATGTCTAATTAATTTTATTTTATTTTTTAAATATAATACCTTATCTCATATTTCCCTATTTTACATTTATTATACTTACAAAGTTTCTATTACATATATTTTAAAATATTACATTAATTTGTATATATAATTATTTTTATCATTATTAGAGAGAGTGTTTAGATAGGTATGTATAGACCATTCATCGTACTGCAGTATGTATTTTTCATTCGCATTGAAAGATGCATGGCTGATATTGTCCGCTTTATTCTAAAGTTTAAAATTATCAAGTCATATATTTTGTTTTAAATAAGTTTAATATGTTTCAGATATAATTAAATTTTTATTAACTTTATCTTTTATTATTTGACTTTATAGATAGCAGCAAAAATAAATCCTGCTAGTGCTCAAAATAATCAAGAGTCGAAGTTAAAGCGTCCTCTTGAAGATAGTACAGGTAATGTTTATTACCGATAATATTTTCTAAAGAAATTTGTGTATCGCAGACATGTGACACTGTATGACAATAATGTGACAGCAATGAACATGTTAATACTTTTTAGTAATATTTCATTCAAATAATTTAGAATTAACGTCGTTATTAAAATAGTAAAGACTCTTACTATAATCAGAACATATCTATTGTTTCCTTTCAATATTAAATAGAACCAGAAGCTAAAAAAATGGCAGCATTAGTAGCAGATCCACTAATAGGACTTCGTGGTGGACCTACAAGTAATAGTTCTATTGGGGAAGGATCCAATCCAGCTGCAGCTAGAGTAGGATCACAATCATCTTCATCCACTCCGATAGGTGGTATGGGAGGTATTTGCAATGAAGATATCAGAGTTCCAGATAAAATGGTCGGTCTGAGTAAGTGAAATATTAATACAATTATTATTCGAAGAAGACTATTAGTGTGTTTTGTTTTTATTTTTTATGCATAGAAGTAAATGTAATTTTAACATGTCTAATCATTTTACTCTTTCATATATTTTCTTTAAGTTATATTCATAATTCATAGTGCTGTTTTTACAGTAATTGGCAGAGGTGGAGAACAAATAACAAGATTACAAAGCGAGACAGGATGTAAGATACAAATGGCTCCAGAAGGTGGATTAGCTGAACGAGTTTGCACGCTAACGGGTTCAAGAGAAGCTGTCAAGTAACTTGTTTTTTTCTTTCTTATTTCATTACTTTCGTCTATTTTGTATGCAATGCAATCCCATTTTGTTATTATGTCTTGACACACAAAGGAAAAGGGTCTATCACCATTAATCATATTGAGTTACATTTACAAACCTTTAGTGTAGTTAAATGCTATATATTGCACATATAACATATTAAAACAATGAGAAAGAAAAAAAGAAAACAACCAATGCTCTAGCAGAACGATTACAGCTGGTGAAAGAAATTGACAAAAAGAATATTTATAATGAAGCCAAGCAAATCCACTATCCTCCTTAATTTTAATATTCAAGTTGAGATCATATAATTTTATTATTAAATTAGGAATGTTTCACCTAATCCCCTTTTATTATGCAACTTCCTTAAGTATACCTAAAATGATATCATCATATTCTTATAAAAAAATATTGATGAAAAACAAATTCTTGATATTAACCATATAATATTAGATAATTTCAAGGTTTTTTTATTGATTGTGTTAGAACATATGCTCTAAGCATAATTTAATAAACGATATATAGTTTGTATGTATTTCATTTACTATGGTATGCTATCACTTCGTGCTGACATGCATTTTATAATTGTATACAACTTACGCTTTTGCATATTAAAGTTACCAAGTGTTTTACAGAACCATTATATAGCTCCAGGATGTGAGTAATGGGCACAGATTCGACTTTGCACATGCATCAGAATTTCAGTCATAGAAAGTGATCCATGAGTTGTGGATTTTGGTTTAATGCTTTTGTATTTACTAATAGTTTTTTGCTTTCAATAGGGTATGGAGAGTGAAGGAAGGAAGGAGGATAGGATATGCATGGGGACGTGTTGTTCGCAACAGGAAGAAAAATGAATTGAATTTTTTATTTATTTACAAAAGAAAAACTGCTTTTATATCTGTGATTATAATATTTATATCTGAAATTTAATTTAATTGTACATTTCTCTAATGGAAAAATTTTAAACATAAACCTGAAAAATGAAAGTAAAACCAATTATGGTTTATTATCATATTTCATCACATAGTAGATATTTTATGTGTTGCAAACAAATTATTATATATTGCTGTATAGTATTAGAGAGTTTCGATATAAGAAATAATTCGCGATTTTATTGCACTTTAAACTTGCATTTGTTTCAGTCGAGCGAAAGAATTGGTCCTCTCGATTGTTAATCAAAGAAGTCGAACGGAAGGAATCGGAGATATTAGTATGACTGGAAGTAGCGGAGGAATAATAGGACATCCAGGTTTCGTGGAAATTATGATACCAGGTCCAAAGGTTGGATTGATTATTGGAAAAGGAGGAGAAACTATTAAGCAACTTCAAGAAAAATCTGGAGCTAAGATGGTCGTTATTCAAGAAGGTCCTTCGCAGGAACAAGAGAAACCATTAAGGTAATATTAATTATAGAAATATCGATTTACTCGTTATTTCTATAAGGAAGATAGAATATCACACGTTGTCAATTCCAACAGGATAACTGGAGATCCTCAAAAAGTAGAATACGCTAAGCAATTAGTATACGAACTTATAGCAGAAAAAGAAATGCAAATGTTTCATAGAGGTGCAAGAGGAGGAAGTGAGAGAGGAGGGAGTTATTCTAATGATAGTAATTTTAATCATGGCTCTACTAGTAGTGATGGAGTGGAGGTAAAGGAATACTTTCTATGCCAAAATTAATTGATTTTTTAAATTTATTATTTACAGCTCATAATTTTTATTATGTGGATAGAAAAAAAACCAGAGGATTCATAAATTAATGAAATATATGTTAATGTAAATTTACAAACTAATTTAGGTACTAGTTCCAAGAGCTGCGGTAGGTGTTGTCATTGGTAAAGGTGGAGACATGATTAAAAAGATCCAAGCCGAAACTGGAGCAAGAGTTCAATTTCAACAAGGAAGAGAGGATGGCCCTGGGGACCGAAAATGTTTGTTATCCGGAAAACACCAAGCTGTGGAACAGGCTCGTCAACGTATTCAAGAACTTATTGATAGTGTAATGGTAAATTTCATATAATTTTTATACATTGTGTTTTTACTTGTAATGTTAATATGTAACTTATATCACTGTAGAGAAGAGATGATGGTAGGAATAATATGGGTGCCAGAAGTGGGCCCAGAGGAAATGGATTTGGTACCGGTAGAAATCCAAATGAATATGGAACTTGGGATAGGCGCCAAGGCGGTCCTATGCAAGATAAGATAGAAACCACTTTCACTGTACCTTCCTCAAAGTGTGGTATTATTATTGGAAAAGGTAGATTGAAAGCAGTCCTGATAAATTCTATTTAAAATGATTGCTTTCGTTTAATTTGATTTCAATTTTTTATTGCTCAAATAAATTTACTTAGGTGGTGAAACTATCAAGCAAATAAATCAACAAACAGGAGCACATTGTGAATTAGACAGGCGGAATCAAAGTAATGAAAGTGAAAAGATTTTCATTATTCGTGGCAATCCTGAACAAGTAGAACACGCTAAAAGAATATTTAGTGAAAAGTTAGGAATGGTACGTATAATATCTCATCTATGTTATTTCAAATTTGAAAATGAAGAAGTTGAATTTTTTTACTTCTGATTATAGGGGCCAGCTGGTACTTCTTTCACAGGTGCACAAGGAGCTATTGGTTACAATCCTAGCTGGAATGCTGGAACAGGATATCAAGCCTGGCCTAGTCAACCTCAATCTAGTGATGCAGGTGAGATATTAGTAAAATAGAGGAGTAGAAACTTAACCATCTACTAAATCACTATCATAATAGGTAATGCTAGTCAAGCACCTGTTCAAGTTAATCCACAAACAGGTCAGCCTGATTATAGTGCGCAATGGGCAGAATACTATCGATCTCTTGGTATGCATAGAGAAGCTGATATGATAGAACAACAAGCGAAACAAGGAAAACAAGAACATAGTCAACAAGCAGGTAAATTTGTATTTCAATTTAATTTATTAATCATCACCTTTATTCATACAGAATAAATTAATTAATATTTTTTATTTTATAGGAAGTGCACAAAATCAATCAAATCCAACAACAGCGGCAGCTTCTACACCAGGTCAACAGCAGCAGCAACAGGCACAACAACAGCAAACTGGTGCTTCTCAAAATGGAGGTCAAGCTGATTATAGTGCTCAATGGGCTGAATATTATAGAAGTATCGGTAAAATAAAAGAAGCTGAAGCAATTGAAGCACAAATGAAAGCAGGCAAGGTATGTAATGCTTTACAATATTTTTATATGTGTATGTATTTTTTATTTGAATATTTTATATTGTATAGGATGATTATTAAATTTATTAGATATTAATCATATAGAAATATTTAAATATAAATTTATTGCTATTATTACAGTTAGGAATACAAGGAAATCAAATGACGCAACCACAAATGCAACCAGCTATGCAGAATCAATCAACTGGACCACCTGGTAGTACACCAAACACATTTCCACAAGCTTATGGTAGTTATCCAGGAATGAATGCTGGCTCAGCTCCGACTGGTTATTATGCAGCAGGTGCTGGGTCCACAAGTCAACAACCTCAGTCGGGACAACAAAATCCAACTTTTCCTGCTAATTATCAAAACTATCCTTACTCGCAGTCCAGCTCTGATAACTAAGCTTCCAGAGGATAATATAAGCTGTAAGTAAACATTTTTATATCTTTACAAACATTTTCCAAATGGAAAGTCGTATGATATTCTCTTTCATATAAAATTTATATATATATATAGAATTTATATTAAGAAAATGATAAATAATTATATCGTATTAAAAAAAAAATAATAATAACTGTTTCACAAAAGTAATTTAATTTTAATTAGAATATCACACAACTTTCCTTAAATATATTTTTAATAAGTCATAGTGAAATGAAGTGCTATAAAAAAAAAAAGTATATTTAATTGTACATTAAAGTATAAAACATGTTTAATGTTGATATATATAAAATAAATAAATGTTATAAAATATAGTTTGAAAAATTGTTGTTTT